TGCAGTAGGAGCCCAACAATAGTGCAATAGTCGCCCATAAAAAATAATTCATGTAAGATCAGCATGGAAAACGACACACAGACACACAATACAAGACAGTCAAGCATGCAGTAATCGCTTATGCCACTACCACGACCTCTTAGACTATACTCCACTGCATTAAAGCTTGACACATAGGACTAGGTTTATGACCCTCGCTGAGTTCAAGCACACAACAATGTCAGAGTCTCCTAATAATTGTCAATCTCATCCATGTTTTCATCTTTCAGAACATAAATCTTGAAGGGTGGCGCATTCGAGAACATTATTGATGGTAGTGATCTCTGCACCTCTTGAATGTATTGATACATGTATTTGTACTGTCGCTAATACTGGTCTACGTAGTGTTGTGTCTACATGCAAACATTGTGAACCTCCAGGGACATTTCCTTCAAACACTTCATCACTTCAACATTTGAAAGACCTAGACGTGATGTCTCATGACATCTCTAGGAGCTATCTCCTCTGTCTATTGATGAACCATGAAAAGAACCATCGAAAGAGAATGTGGTCCTGATGAATGCATTCTGCGGCCCAAGAATCTTATCTTCACTTCCTCCAGCTACGCCCTCTTAATGACACGGCGCAGAAATAATGCAGGGGTGCCCAAAACCTGCAGTAGTCTGGCCATTGGCAATGTGCATGATGGATTGGTGGAGGATGATTCCAAAACCTATAGATTTACCTATCTATTTCTTCTTGAGTTTCCATCAGTTCTTAGTGTTGATGAGAAAGAAAAGCCACAATGAAGGATATTTTGTCTTACACTTTGAGAACTGATTTACCAATAATAATAGTATACTACATAAGTGTTATTCACCTTCTTGTAAAGATGCACTTGAAGAAAGAGTCAACTCATCTTCAAATGGTTTCACTATTACCTCCTCAGAATTTTGGTATTTCTACTTATTTTTTAGGGGCCGGAATTTCCTAGACTTAAATATCTAGAAACGATGTGAAAACTTTTCTTTAGAAAGAACAACAACAATGCATAAAACATTCTCTAGAAAGCCCGATGACAATGCAAAAAGCTTCATTTAGAAAGAGTGGAAATAGAGTGGAAAATCTCCTCATAAAGTGCTCAATAGTAGTGTAGAATGTTGAATAAAAGCAGGCTAAGGGATAATTTTTGATGGCCCAATAGTATGCTAAGAGATCCAGTTGACAGGCCAAGAGAGCTCTATTAATTGCACAAAAACTGGTTGGGAGACACTGAGGTTGATAACAACAATGCAAAAGGGAGCTTTGTTGATCGCATAAAAATAGGCTTGGAGGATTTGAGTTGGGCAATAACAATAAAAAAGAGAGCCTCATTGATTGTACAAAAATAGGCAGGGAGACTCTGAGATAGGCAACAATAATGCAAAGGGGGGCAACTTTGATTACGAAAACATATGTTGAGAGAACCCCGTGTGGGCAATAGTAATGTAAAAGGGAGCTTCGTTGATCACAAAATAACTTGTTGGGAGAATCCAATTTCTTCTCTTTCTTTTGGCATTTTTATTGGCTAAATAAGGAAATTAAATCAGCCAATGGCCAAAATCCAATCCAATCGCAAAAAAATGCTCTGACCATTTGATATGGCCAGTTCAATGATTGTCACATGAGAACTAACACACACAGATCGCAATCTGTGTGATCGCATGACTATGCTAATATGTGTGAATCGATTGTGTCATTATGCTACCCGATCATGGCCTGCACTATGTGGTCTGGTCCCACCCGGCTAACCCACTCCAATAGCTTGCACTTTGTCACATCACTGTGACCCACACCCGTGCCTTCAACACTATCATCAGTGTTTCCCTTCAGCCCAAAGTCATGACACAGCTGCTCACCACAACGCTAGTAGCCTTCATTTTTGTCCACAATTTCAGTGATGCTTACTCTTGCACACACACTAAAGTGTATCAACATGCGTGCCCGCAAGTGTAAGTGCGCACACACATGCGCCCTCATGCACACGCATTTTTTTGTTCTCGCCCTAAGCATCCATGTTAGTTCCAGTATGAATCATGGTATCCTAGCTTGCATTTATGCTCATATACAGACCCTGCTACATCGTTAACACATTTTTTTTTTTTTTTTGCTCGCATGCACGTACATGTATGCCCGGTTATGCATGCCTATGTGAAAAAATGTCAAGCCACCCTTAATGGGTTACCATGAATACTGCTATCAATGATATAATCTAGTATTATCTTAGAATTGTTCTCTTCACCATTTTTTGGCATTCCATATTCTATTTTGTCCTTTTTAGGTTGCACAAAGCATTAATATATGTTCAATGTATAAGTTTTTTTTATAGGATTCAAAATAATGATCAAAACTGTTACAACAACTTATATTTTTAGAGGATGTGAACAAGCGTGCCCGAAAATAAGAGGCAATAAGTACATCATAAATAAATTTTGACATTTGACACAAATCTATAGGAGAATAACACAAACCCCAGAGCATTGTCTTGCAAGAAACTTTCAAACTCAAATTAAAAATCATATAGAACTCTAATTTCAGTAAAATTATGTTTAAACTGATCGCCTTGATGATATAGACCAATGACAACAAAATTGACCCAATTTGAGTCAAATCAAGTTTGGATCAAGCTGTTAAATCACATTTGGAAGCTTTGGACAGCTAATTGGAATGTTAAATGAATTCTAAATCTGATATGCATATAGTGAAATTGAGCATCTCAATGAGATAAATCCAACGAGGTCAAAGATCACTCAATTTTAATATCATGAAGGCATTAGTTGTCCATAAAATATCTTTTAATCGTGAGAATCTCTCTGGGTCATCTGATGGAGCGGTCCAAATTCTTTCCTAATTTTGCAGAGAAGGCACTCTCAAACTCTATAAATAAATTTCTAGCCCCTTCATGAAAGGGGAGACCTGGAGCTAGACTTGGACCATAAGGAGAAGAGAATGAGACACTTTCCAAAGTTATTCAAAATCAAAGACCCAACGAACACTTCTTTCTCCCACAACTGTCGACCACTAGACGCTGGCTATCGTCGACCACTATCGACCTCCTTTTGCTCATCACCAACATTGGACCTTACTGAGTAATGAAATAAAATGTCCTTGAATATGATGCAACGACTCACTTGAAGACGATGCAATGACATGCCTTGAAAATGATATACGTGCCACGAAGACAGTGCAACAACATACCATGAATATTATGTAACATTGCATCCCAAAGATATTATAGCAACATTCCACCAATATGGGGTAATAAATAATGTCGTATTGAAGATTTAGGTATAATTCCCAATGATAATGGCTTACAACTATCGTACTCAGAATACTGTGTCTTTCTCTGGAATACTCAAGTTCTCTCCTCTCAACTCTCTACTATATCCTATGTGATAAACAACTATCTAAATGATTCATAGCTTGTACAGTTCCCAACTTTGTCTTTTGTGGCTCAAGGATATTATCACAGTTCACTACTACGACCTGTGTGATCAACTATGATATATGTGGTTCATAGCTCTTACAACTCCTGACTTCAGCCTTATAGCTTATAAACAATATCACAGCTCACCACTACAGGCTATGTGTTCTATTAAGGCCTAAGTGGTTTACAATTCATGTAGCTCCCAACTTCAAACTTTATGTTCTACGAATATTATTATAACTCGCCACTATAACCGACATGACTAACTACGACCAGCTTTTTCAGCTCACTGTTATGACCTATGTGATTAAATATGGATTAAGTGGTCCAAAGCTTACTACCAGAACATATATGACCAATTACGACATATGTGGTATATAACTCATGAAACACCTTACTTCGGCCTATATGGCCTACAATATTATTACAGCTTCATTATATAACCTATGTGACCAACTATGGCCTACGTGACTAACTATGACCTATGTGATCAACTATGACCTATGTGATCAACTATTGCCTATGTGATTCACGGCTCGCGCAACTCCCAACTCCGACTTCTACTGTTTATGGATGTTATTATATCTCTGCACAACAGTCGATGTGACCAACTATGACCTACAAGGCTCACAGCTCATGCAACTTCCAACTCTAACCTATACGGCCTATGGATATTAATACAGCTCTCTTTTACAGCTTATGTTATCAACTTTGACCTACATGGCTCACAGCTCACACAACTCTTAAATCCATCATTTGAGGCCTACAAACGTTATTACAACTCTTTGTTACGGCCTATGACCTATGTGACTCATAGCTCATGCAACTCCCAACTAAGGCGTTTACAGTCTACGGAAGTCATTACAGCTCACAACTATTTCCTTCATGAAAAAACTATGATATATAGGCTCACCGCTCCCAACTCCGACCTTAATAATCTACAAGAGTTATTACAGCTTCTCGCTACGACCTATGTGATATATTACGACATACATGGCTCACAACTCATGCAACTTCTAACTCTTGCCTATGTAGCCTACAAATGTTATCACAGCTCTTTACTATGCCTACTGTGGCCAACCAACGTTCTTAAAGCTATCGCCTATGGCCTACATGGCCAACTACTACCACAACTTTCAACTATGGCCTCTACAAAAAGCTGCGCTTTAGTCCTCATCTACAATATTCATGATGAATTACACCCTCCATAACAATTTACTACAACCTTTGTGGTCTGTTACAGCTATTTTTTTACTACATCAATATTGTAATTTTATCTTCACTAATTCAGGAGAAGAGTGAAACTATATACTCATAATTACAATGTAATAGATTAATTAAACTTAGTCAAGCACCGTGTTTTTTTTCTCTTTTCAGTATTTGCCACGTAAAAGAATGATGATATCTCCTTCTGCCTCATTCTCTTTTCAGGATCTTCGTCCAATGTTTAGATGTTAAATTATTACCCTATTATCATAAATCATCTGACACACATCAATCCGATAACATCTTTTTAATACAGATCTCCAGCTGTACAAACTTGTGATAAACCAAAAAATGAAGCTATACTCACAAAAATAACGCAATCAAAATTCAAATTCTAGCATTTTTATTATCACAGCAATAATACCTACATTTTGGCTCCATTTATGATAGCCATGTAACTGCCCTTACCATTCAAATTGTCAGCTCCCTTCATTTACATATAGCAGAAGAAAACATTAACTTTTTTATTTAAAATGTGAAATAATTCTAAAACTTAGTTATGGAGTTAGCCATGCATCCACAACCACAATCCAGCTCCTTCCAGTACAAAAATGCGAAGAAGCCGAACAGGACGACAGCCGTTAAGTTAAGCAGGCGATGCCACCCCCACACCCCCGCATCACCCTCCTCCCCCAACGCCGCCGCCGGTTGTGGCTGCAGCAACAAAGCCTCCTCCAACTCCCTCCACATCCCGGGAGATTCCAGGCCCCAGTCCCCGGTCCACAAACCCTGCACACACCTAACGGGCCGAAGCGGCTCAGGCCTGAACCGGACCGGGCCCCGCTGCGCCGCCTCCGCAGCCGCGGTTCGAATGTCGCTGGGCCGGGAGCCGGCCGGGCGAGGGAGGTCGTAGACCGTATCGGGGAAGTTGAGCCGGGCGTCTCGACCGCGGAGCCAGAGGGCGGCGACGTCGTGGGCGGTGGCGGCCATTTCTGCGGAATCGAAGCTGCCCAACCAAATTCGGGTTTTTTTACCCGGTTCGCGGATTTCGGAAACCCATTTCCCCCACTTCCGCTTGCGAACGCCGCGGTAAGTGGCGGCGGATGCGGATGCGGATGCTCCGTCGTGCTCCAGTTTCATTTGCGTGCGTCTGATGAGTTGGTTTATTGAGTGGCGTCATAAGTTATATAGCGGCTGGGGAAGGAGATGATTTTCCTGGCAAATGCGGAAGGACGTGAAAATGGTGATTGTTCCAGCACTTGGGTTTGGTTTATTTATCTGGAAGAGTAAATAAATAAATAAAACCTCGTGTTATTGAGCAGTGCCGTTCGTGTTGCTAAATCTGTGACAGCTGGATGTGAGAGAGAAAGAGAGAGAGAGAGAGAGAGAGAGAAAAGATGCTTGCTGTAAAATTAATATATGCTATTTTACCCGTTTAAGAAGATTTATATATGTATCAGATGAACCGAACGCGAACAAATAGAGTTCATATTTGTATTTTATTCATTTAAAATTAAAGTTGTATGAAATAGACTCGTGTTTGAAATTGTTCGTTAAAATATTGTCTGTGTTTTGTTTGATTGTTTGAAATAAAGTCAAAATGTTTGAATTATTCGAATTGTTTGAATTATTTGAAATCTTTCAAATTTGTTTATATTGTTTGAATTTTTAAAATGATAATAAATTTAATTATTAATTTTCAAATTACCATAAATGAATAAATAATATCTCTCTATTAAAAAAAAATATTATTTCTTCAACTATATTATTACAAATAGTTGAAAACAAGTTACAAATGAAATATACATTTAAAGTTTCAAACTTAAATTCTTAAAAAACTATAAATCATTATTATAAAACAATTAAGTAATAAATAAACAATTTAAAAATACATTATAAATAAAAAAATACACTCGAAATTATATATATATATATATATAATCCAAATTTCAGTTTCCAACACTTATTATTCATTCCTACAAATTTTATTTTTATCATATCTCATCCTTGAAAAATTCAGATCTTGAGGCAATATGCGAGTTTTCAACCCCAAAAACTTCAAAAACTAGGTTTCACTCAAAAAACTTAAATAAATCTAAAAGAAATATAATAAATTTTAAGCTAAGAGGTGAACTTGAAGATAAATATGAAATATTAAAGAAAAGATACACAAAGATGACACTTCGGTAGCCTTACAAGCAACCAAGCAAGAATACTGAGTAGTTGATCCAACATCGACTCGCCGAATAAAAAAAAAATTGAAAACAAACAGTAGTAGTGATTAGAGAACGAACACAAACAACAAACCCTAAGCTCTCGCGGCAAAAAACTTTTCACAATTTTGAGAGAAAAAAGAGAAGAATCTAAAGAAGGGGAAGCAGACAAAACTTAGCGGAATGGGAGGTTGGTTGGGGTAAAGGAGCTTAGGGGTTTTTTTTTTGTTTATATATATAGTGTATTAATATATTATATTAATTATATAACTTATTTTATATAAATATATAATATTTATACAACTAAAATTAATAAATTATTATTAACAATTTCTAATATATTATAATTTATAGGGATTAATTTTTTAAACTATATAATTATTTTTAAAATATGATAAATTTTTTATATATAATTATTTTAAATAATTTTATATTTTTAATAATAAATTCGAACACGATCAAGCACAAGATTGTTCGTGTTTGGTTCCTTTATAAATCGAACAAAAAAAACATGTTTGTGTTCGTCTCGTCTGCATATCGAACGAATCAAACACGAACTCACGGCGAGTTGAACATGAACTGCTCGCGAACAACGAGCTTTTTTGACAGCCGTACATACATCATATGTATTTATACATCCAACAAAACTTCAATTTGTACAGAAATGTCGGCACGTCTATGGACGGATTACTTTATAAAATTTCAATGATCATAATTTTGATATTAATATGTAAATACAAAAGAGTTGGGTGGCATGGATGTAAATGCTTCAAAAAAGATTCTATGCTGGAATATTTTATATTTTTTTTATTAGTGTGTTAATTAAAATTTGAAAATTATTTATTTATTAGAACATTTACATACATATTACTCAATTCAATTTATATGTACTTTTATATCTAACAACTAAATTTCAATTTCTACATTTATGCTACCTTATTTACATAGGAAAGATGTATTTTTAAACTTTTTTATGACTATTTTCTTTTAATTCTCATGTTGGGTTTTGTATGTATATTTATATCTAATGGGGGCCTTATATTCTTATAGAGTGAATTTATGAACTTATAGTTAGAAGTATAGGTGAACGATCACAAGACATTGTCAACCATTTTATCCAATTGTTGCGGCCAGTTACATGGGTTATAGCCACTAACTACAACTTCATAGCCAACTACAACCATTATAACCACTAACTATGACTTTTGTAGCCAACTGTCACTATTGTGGCCACAAACTACAGTTCTTGTAACTCAATTATGGTTGTCATAGCCAAATTAGTATTATAAAATTATGATTGTCAATTTTTGTAATCTCAATCTCCCTAACTCAAGTCTCATTTTGAAGCAATAGTATCAGTTGCTTCAAAATGATGACAGAAAATTTAAGTCTGATGATGTCGCTACTGACATTGATCTAAGTTGATAATGAGTATTGGGCAATAATGAGAGATGGTTGCCTTCCAATATCTATGAGTGAAGATGGGTACTAAGTAGACATAAGCTATTTTGTGAACTTGTAAATGCAAGGCAATGGTAATGATAATGTGAGGAGGCCTATAGGTGTTAGAGGATAATAAATATTTGTTAACTTAGGGTAATCATATCATTTGTTCTCCTTAAGAAATGAGATATCAGACTAAAGGAATGATAACTATAAGAAGGTTGAAAGTGAGAAAATCTAAGAAAACCAATTGGTACTCTTAAGGGGAACTTAGAGAACTATGATTCTTTTAAATTTGAGAATTTTAACTATTATATATATATCATAAATATATAAAAATATTATCAATCAAGTGGGACATTGTAAAATTTTTTGAATAAATATCTGCCAAATTAAAGCTTATATTGCATGATACAAATTGATCCACTCAGGATTTAAATAATGATTGGTGGTTTCCCGTCCATAAAGAAACTTAATGGCCAAATTAAGCTAAGATTGGCTATGTGATATATGAAGGATCGGTACAATAAATGTAGCCATCGATGCACCACTATCAGAGGCTACTTCATAAGAAATAAAAGTCAAGTGTAACAAGCAATGGCAATAGTGATGATTGATGCAACAACTTTCTAACATACATAAGACAATAAGTTGTATTAGAAGAGAGGCGATTGACATGAGCTAAAAAACCTAATTCAAGTTTGTTCACATATATTCACTTGTTAAGGACCCATTTTATGATGCATCGATGCTTTCATAATCAAATGTGTCATTCCAGATACATGTTCATACTTAGCGCACTCTTGACATGTATTGGGTGGGTTATCTCTATGTCCAATTAATTAGAAAAAAATAACTAGCACATGTGTTTGACATGTATACTTATCAAAAATTGAGTTGTAATAATTTTGCCAAGTTTATCCTCAATAGTTTTTTTCTTGACCTAAATGTTGTGTCCGCTCCAAAAAAGTATATTACCATAAAATAGTGTTAATGCAGTACAAAGAGAGAGTTTTATCAAAATATAGCATCAAGTATATAAAAGGATTGGTCATCGAGCATAAGTCATTATAGGTGATCAATGCACAAAAAAGAGCATGGAATTAATATGGAGGAAGTATCATGATTATCATTAACTTCAATAACAAAAACAAAAATCTCAAAGCAACTAAGCAAAAAGCTAGTCCCTTCATGAAGAAATCAAAACATTAAGACACAAACCTTCGCATAAAGCATTTGAGTACTTAAGGATGTTTGTCTGATTAGGCTATATGGACAAGAATGTGTATTTCTGGGGGCCATAAATGAATTTGTATAGGGCTACAATACAAGTTACTCGTACCTGACTCGATTAAAGCTTGTTCATGATGATGTAATTAATTAGTCAAACAAACTTGAACACATTCATAAGTACTCAAGTACTATATGAACAAGCTTGTGCATCTTGATGTTTGGTCCATTTATGCTCAAAAAGTATCATTTAAAGCTCGTGAATAAGCTCAGTTATGACTCAATTATAGCCTATTCATGAACAGTATCATTTAAATATTTATTTTTAGGATTAGCAACCATTATTTGATATGACTAGTTTATTTTTTTCAGCATGCTGCTCTTATGAAACTCTAGTAATGCTTAATTCTAGCTCGTTTATTTAGTTAAATGAACTACTCGTTAATAAGCTTAATAACCCATATTATAATGGAATATTGAATTTGGAAGGTGCGTGTTCAAACCATGCATTATCATAAAAAAAACTAGGCACTCAAAAGCAATCACCAAACTTCTTTTTTAAAAACATTTTGCATCCATAGCACACAATTCTCATGTCTTTACATATCTTACACATAAACTTTAATGTTTAGGTTTATATCACCCTACCAATGTATGAAAAGATATGATTCACTTTTTATAAATTAATAAAAATGATATTTTTTTTATGTGATATAAAAGATTTGTGAGTTATAGATGTGAAAATGATCAAACTTTAGGTGTTAGATGATATGTATACAAATGCCCCATTTTTTCATTTCCTCATGAAAGAAGATGTCTTAGGGAGGATGGATAAGCGTGTGAGAGCTGGCACAAATATAGATTTGGATCTTCATGTTGCAGCGGTTGGGTTACATCTTAAAATAGAGAAACAGTCAACAGCGACACATGACTATGCATGCACATATGGAGTTGACAAACAATACGTCCAAAGGACAGAAATTTTGTTCAAAACATCATCATCATTGTGAAGTCTCTTTCAGGACAGCCAAATCACAGATAATTTTATTTATAATATATATATATAACCCTAAACCCTAATTCACCTACCTTGACATTGAAGCCGTTAACAAAGAATTTTATTTAGAATTAAACAACAGTTTTCTAATGAAATTTCGATGAGGGTTTTCCAATCTTTAAAATGAAATGTGTCTTGATATTTATAGAGTTTAGCTTTCTTGTGCCATCAATTTTTATCATTTGGCGTGATTATCGAGGTATGACACAAATTTCAATACAATTTGTTTTAGTAAGAATTATTCAAACTATGAATAAATTCATTCATAGCTCCAATTTCAATAAACTTATAGTCGAACTGGCTGGCTCGATGAGACGAACCCAATGATACCAAAATTGGTCTAATCTGAGTTAAATCAAGCCTTGATCAAGTAGTCAACCCACTTTTAGGAGCTTTCGGTGCATAATTAGAAGGT